TGTGACCCGCTGGAAAGGGTTATTTGTAAGTCCGGGTGCTCACAATAAGGGCATTCTTCTGTCAGCTGGTGAGGAGCTGTCTTCCCTTCCGCGGCGGTCACATGGCTTCCCTCTGTAGTCCTGTCAGCACACGCACAATTAAAGCGTTCTGCTGTCAAGGAATTGAAGAAAGAACCTGTGTGTTGAATGTAAATATTGCCTGTACCTCATGGAACAAAAAAATGATCAAAGATGGAGTGACCTAATTGCAGGGAAGTCTCTGTTGGAGGTTTTATAAGCGAACCTGTTGCCCGGGAAGATGGATGCAAGGTCACTGTGGTCCTGGGCTGTTCGGAAAAGGGGCTTTTTGCATTGTACCTCGCAGCCCGCCTGCAACAAACCCACTCGTGAACACCGCTGCTGTTACGTGCCTCTGTGAGTAAAAGAAGAGGGTGTTCTCCACATCCCTCCCCAGTCCCTGCGGAGTTCAGCGGATGTGACTCGCACCGTGTCTGCACCATCCTGTTGCACTGCAACGACTGGTGCAGAACGGCGAGACACCCCTGTGAAGCAGTCCCTCCCAGGGAGAGTGGGATATGGAGTAAAACTCCCCGTGTCTTAGCCCACGGGATGGACTTCTACCACACGCAGCAGGACACGCCATCCTTTCCCACTGCTTGTCCCACTTCCAGCTCCGTCACTTCCAAGGATCGCAGCGCCCCTGTGCCCTGCAGCCCTCCCACACGCGCAGCAGAAGCAGGGTGTCAGGGGCAGAGCCGGCGCTGCCGTGCGAGGGGAGACGCGAGGGGTATAGGGAAACTGCTACAGCAGCAGTGCCTGAACTTGGCCGCCTGCGTTTCATTCCCAGATCCAGCTGGTCAAAGCCAGTGTACATTCCCGTGTGTGATCTCCGGGTTATCTGAGGACTCGCTTTCACAGAGGAGTAATTTTATCTGGGGTGTGTGAGAGTCCGGTTTCACAAGTGAAAAGACAGTAATGCTGCAATTTGTTTGTTATACCTGGGTAACTTATGCCCTCGCCGCTCCCTTGTGCCAGGCAAAATCCCTGTATCCGCCAGCGCGAGGGCAGGACTTGCGCTTCGGTGTCCTCCGAATGCTGCCTCGGTGGCGACAAGGCCCGTTACTGCTCCGGGCTCTGGCGTCGCTGTACCTTGTGCTGTATCCCAGGCCAGCACCTTCCCTTCCACATGGAAAGCATCAGATGGGGAGAAACCCAAGGGCAGACGTCACACCCGACCTGAGCACTTCCCTGGGAGGAGGGATGGGTGGAGCAGGTCCCTGGGAGCTGCTCACTGTCTAGGTGGGGAAGCCAGGGAAACGTGAGCACTCAGGCCCGGCAGAGCTGCTCTGGCTGCTCCTCCAGCCGCCCGCCGTGGATCCCCCAGTGCCCCCCGGCCTAGAGGAGAGCTGCGTTGGCACGTGGCAGGCTCTGCTCCGCATCACGCGCTGCAGGGTGTCTCCAGCTGGGGATGGTTTTACACTTCACACTTACAAGAAACTGGTTTTGTAAGATGTGTGGCTGCTTCGCCTGCGTCAGCACAGAGGGAGCTTCCTGTTCCGTGCCCGCAGAGCCGTGCACTTCAATACACACCTGGAAAACCGCAGGCACCACCTTCCTCTCCAACGCAAAGTCCTCCAGGAAGGTGGTTCCTGCAGATAACTGGCATCACAAAGCAACGACTGCAAACACTGCCTTCTACTTTACATTTTTATGCCTCCTGAAAGCACCAATCACGTCTTTGTGAACTGATGGAGCTGTCTAATAATTCAACAGACAGTTTTTTTTTTTCCTAAGCTGGCATCTCCAAGGATAACGAGCCACATTCTTATGGTAGCAGTTAATCCTCAGCTCTGTCTCTCCCTGCTGATCCTCTCTCACCATGCCAGGGTTGGTGCATGAAACCAGGTAGAAACCTGTCTGCTTATATTCCAGATATGCACTTGCTGTTTGTGCGTTCACTAAACTTGGACTCACTCCACAAGGATTTCTGCAAGGTACTAATGTTCTCAAACTGGTCAAAAGCAATCAGCTGAACATGAAATCACGGGGCTTGGCTGTAATCATCACTTCAGGATCTTGCTGTTGCATCCTATAGAGACAGACATGTCTGAAATGAAAAAGTGAACGTACCGAGTGAAAATGGAAAATTACATTACTTTTAACAAAAGGATACATTTATTAAAAACATGTTTTCTATAAGGAAACAGCATCTACCTGACATTTCTCACGGTTATTTCTTCCTGTTGAGAATAGTTTTTATTTCCTAGCATGATCATCACTCATGCAATAAGGATAATATGTCAGGATGAGCCCTGACATAATGCAAGACTCAGATTTGATCAGGCTGATCTAATGACATGAACAGGAAGAACAGCCTCTCGAGGGCTTGCAACTTCCAGCCCAAGGTGGGATAGAGTGGCTTTCTTTTGCTCTTGTAATGCCCTCCCTTGCTACCAGTATAAACCACTAGAAACTTGCTTAGCACAGCATCTTGTGTTCACCTTCAAATTCCATCTGGTATCCTACCAGTGCACTCCTGAGATCTTCCAGGACGTCTGCAACTCTGCATTTTCTCAGGAGTCGTCCTGAGCTCCCTCATACAGGCACACAGAAACGCTTCCACACCCAGTCTCAAGAAAGATGCCAATTTTGGTCCAGAACTGGAATGGAAAAGGATTGTTCATGTGGTTCCTTGTGAACTTAGAAGTGTTACACACTGTAAGTTCTTAGAGGAAAACGTGCCTGCCATTTCAGCGTGTAAGCAGCAGATGAGGCGGTCCCCTTCTGCAGCCCTAGCAGAAGTTGCTCAGGGGGAACCCTGCAGCAGGGCTGGTCCCAGTTTAGCTCTCCACCTCACCGAAGGAAGGGCAGAGCCTGCTGCCTCCAGCACACAGCACCGTTGGTGGATGAGCTCTGCAGCCAGTGGGCTCCTCTGAAGTCTGGGTGCTCGCAGCAGCACGGACTCGCTAGGCCAAGATTCTGCTTAAAATTCTTGCAATAGCCCAAGCCATGCAGAGGGGAAACATCATCAAATCATAGAATGGTTTGGGTTGGAAGGGACCGCAAAGACCATCTAGTTCCAACCCCCCTGCCATGGGCAGGGACACCTTCCACTAGACCAGGTTGCTCCAAGCCTCATCCAGCCTGGCCTTGGACACTCCCAGGGATGGGGCATCCACAGCTTCTCTGGGCACCCTGTCCCAGCACCTCCCCCCCCTCTGCGGGAAGAACATTTTCCTGATATCCAACCTGAATTTACCCTCTTTCAATTTAAACCCCTCATCGTGTTTCTGTATTATTGCCCGTGCACAAACCTGAGGACAACACGTTCATGCCTGTGTTACACACAGACTTCAAGGCTACAGACTCAAGAAGTACATCTAATTACAAAAATGTCTGGAAAAACAGCCCCTCCTCCACGCTTTGTTTGGGTTCCTTGTCCTCACAGTTTAGAACTGTCCGTACAGAGGCAGCGGAGCAGTCCCAAAGCAGTTATTTGAAACAATAACTGTGGCCACATCAGTCTCACTACAGAGCGGGAGAAGGACTGATAACAAAACTGCCCTTCCTGTGTACCTGTGCTCAGCCTAATTGTAGAAGGGGTTGAGGATGATGATACATTGGGTTTACACCAATTGACAGCTCTCAGCCCTCTCCCCTGAAAGCTGCCTGGTTTTCCCACAAGTCCAGCTCCAGGTCATCTCCTGCGTGCTCTTCGACGCTCACCTGAGTGCTCATGCCTTCGCCCTCGACAATTGGGTCAAGCAACTGCAACCGAGTCAGTACTGGCTATCAGCCTCAGACCCTGCTTGCTATTGCCTTGTTACACAGCACGCTCCTCCGAGACGCTGACACGAAGGCAGCAGTCTGACCCTCAGCAGATTCCCATCCCTGGCTGCCGAGCAGTAAAAGCCGGTGCCGTCAAAGCACGACCCTGGTAATGCAGCCGTGAGTACGTAGCGATACGTCCGTCTTCCTTGGTACTCTGCACCATCTTGTGGCTAGCAGAAAAACAGAACAGCCTCTGAAATCTTTCTTTTGGGTTTATCGTGTGTGTGTGTTTTTCCTAACGAAAAACACGGATTGTGAGTGCACGGGTAAGATTCGGTGCCCTTTGTACAGCTGCCCCGGGCGCCCGCAGGCTGCTTTACAAAACAGCAGGAGGGAAGGCCATCGTCACAGATACGTGGGTTGTGTGCAGGTCCTGTAGCAGACATAAATTACTACAGAAGTCTCACTGTGTTCCCACGTATTTGGAACAAATCAGATATTTTAGGTCTTGAGTTTGGAAAAACAGTTAAGAATGTCTTGATCCCAGTGATCCCCCTTGTTCTGAGAAATGTTTGTTAGTGATCATTCAAGGTTTTCCCATACTCTCCCGTAATTCCTTTGCACTTTCAAAGAAATCATTTAAACAGAAACACGGGTTTGTCATCGTTGGTAAGCCTGTCTTCGTGTGAAAGCTGCCTCCCCGTACCTGCAGCCCTCAGCCTCCCGGGAATAGACTCGGCACCACGCAGAGCGCAGGTTACTCCGGTGAAGCTCATTTATGGTAACCACAGCCGTCTGCTTCCACAGGAGCACGTTTTCTCCCATCCTCCAAACCATAACAGATGTCAGACCGACACTGTGTTTTCCAAGGAGAAAGGCATCAGCTATCCTTGCATTTCAGCGTGACAAGGATCAAACTCCCCTGTGCTCCATGGAAAACTTGTGCCCACATACATAACATGAAAGCCGGGTGGGGTGGTGATGGGCTATCCTCTTGCTCCAAATGGATGGTTTCCTTCGCCAAACCCGTGTCCGCTTTTAGAGGAGGGAGATGGCACGACACTCAGTCTCATCTGGGATTGCCATTCCTTATGCTGCTTCTCCTGCTTGCCAAGGCAATTTGGGAGTTTCCAACAGGCACCAGCTACATTCTCCCACAGTCGTGCAGGGCAAGCTGGGTGAGTGTGCAGCATTATGATGCTCCTCACAACACTCCCTCTTTTAAACAGAAAAAATGGCCCCGCAGGCGGGGACCCCGACCCCTGCCACTTCGCCGCAGGAGGATGAAGAACAAGTCAGCAGACGCATGATGGCCAGGAGGGTGAAGATCATCACAGAGCTCATGCAGACAGAGAAGGACTACATCAGCGACCTGGATCTCTGCATCAAGGAAGTGATTCAGCCCCTGAGAAACAAGCAGGTGAGCACCGGGGGCAGAGGACGAGGGGGTGACGCCAAGGTCTCACCCACGTTCTGCTTGCAGATAATCTTAACGCGAGCACAAGTGTCAGCGCGAGAGGGACACGGTGCCAGGAGCGGGTCCAGAGCTAGCCTTCCGTAAAGGGACGTGCCAGGGCTCTAGCGAGGACAGCAGGGAGTCAGACACGCTCCCGACAGTTGTGCTGCACTTGCATCAAGGTACTCGCCCAGAGAGCAGCTTGGATGCTATATCCCTCTCCATGGGCTGCCACAGCAGCTTCCACCTCTCCACACTGCTCTGTAATCACAGCCCCCAGCACATGCCCTGGCAGACCTTCACTGGCACCTCCAAAATCAGTAAAAAATAATAAACCCAAGTATTTTCCATGCTAATAACCTGGAAGTCATGAACCTCCCCATGAAGGTTAAATTGAGCCGTAGAGGTAACTCAATCCAGCCTTTCCGACGGCCGTGGTGGAGAAATACCATGCCCACCAGCCCAGTGAGTGCTTAAGAAATTCACATTCTGCACAGAAAAGGTAAATTTAGGAAGGCAGGCCCATAAACTATCTCAGGCAAAAGATCTTCCTAGGCTGATGATACCCATTTTTGTCTTCAGCTGAGACTTCAAAGAGCGCCTTTTCCTCCAGTATTTCCATTTGAGGAAAACCTGTGCAGCCGCCAGCTGGGAACTGTCCAGAGAAAGTCGTGTGTTGTGGGGCCTGCAACAGTGTTCACAGAGGCTGCACCAATGTCCCTGCTGCTAACACAGGGCTGGCATAATCTCAAACAGACCTTAGGCTAACTATTCTGTGTGTAGGGTTCCGTATGAAAGCGGTGTCAAAATACAGGGGCAGGGGTCGAGGTGTCTTTAGATGACAGTGGCACTGCCCCTTCGGGAAGTGCTGTGGTCAGCTGGAGCCTATGCTGTTTGCACTCCTGCAGGACCTTTTTTCTTTCTTCAAACTCTACCAGAGTTTGTTCCAGCCCATTTTCAGAAGAGCTGGCACCTGCTGGCATAACTTTGAGGAGTTCTTGACCTACTCTTCCTCCTCACTTGTTCATCCCTTAGAAGCAGTCTCCACTGGACTCCCTCCCCAGCCTGGCCAGCACCGAGCAGGAGCATTTTCTGCTTCAGCTCGCTGCGATGTTTGACGAGCGTGCTGATTCCTTTGCCCTTTCAGCAGCTGAAAACATGTTTCGATCCTGTCCTTTGGCACTGTATTAGAGTGTGTAAGTGCCCGCCCGCAGCATCATTCCAGATACCATGCAGGCACTGTGCCGGAGCAGAGGTCAGGAGTCCCGTGCCAGATGTATCCAGGAAGAGTAATTTAGAGATTATAACCATTAATTTAATAACCAGTGCATTTTTGAAAAGCTTTCAAGAATGTTATAGGGTTTTAAGGCTGGTTCTGGGATAAACTACTGCACTGAAAGTTTGTAACGTGTTCAGAGAAGGACAGCGTTTAGAAAATTGGCCTAGCAACGAATCTGTTCCGTGTTTCCAAATGGGTATGTTTCAGCCCCTGTAATACTTACAAAGAAATTAAGTGCCTTAGTACTGAAAGTGTATTTCTGATTCTGTTACAACGGCATGCCGTTTGGTCCTTCTGGCATCTGGTAGGCTGCTCCGTAAGTCAGCAATTCCGTCTCTAATGGGGAGAGAGTTCAGGGAGTATCAATACGGACGTCAGAGTCAGTCCTGCCTTTGTTCCCGGTGTTAGCATGCTGCCACTCGCTATCTCCAACTGCCCTGGGCTACTAAGCATTGCCCTGCTGGGCAAGGAAATAACTAACTACTGCATGAAAAGTATGTGTCCTGGAAGGAAATTTTTGCTTGCCCCAAAATGAGGAGGAACACGGGACCAAAATTTTCTGTTGGTGTAAATCGAGGCAGTCCACTGAAGTAAGTCAGTGTTGTGCACTCCGGCTCTGGGAAGCTCTGTGGGTTATTTTAATACCCAGAATTGTAAATGTGTTTGTTCTAGTGGAAATTACATGATCTTGATGGTATTTTTGGATGTACAGAACAACTAACTTCAAATGGTACCACCACCTGGAAGTCTTGTACCTATCAGCTGGCACCTAAGCGCCAAGGTCTCAGTTTATGTAGCGGCCTCTGGTAGCTACTGGTAATCAAGGAATCAAACCCACTGTCAGCTCTTCTCTTCCTCTGTGGGGAGGTAAACAAACATCCTAAAGCCAGCTAAGGATCTTTTCTTTATTCAGATGATAATATTTATTTCCTTCCTAAGCAAACACTTTTAGATTAGGAACGGTTCGAAATAAGGTTAAAAGCACTCGATAGCGTGCCCTTTGTTAACTGCGTCAACCATATTATACTAATCTGAAAACCGTATACGTGTCCTTGAAGTCACAAGGAGGATGTTTATATGAGGTTTTGCAGAAGTGGGGCTTCCTGGTGTGTTGAACACGCAGGGCATAGCAAGCGAAGGCCTGTAATGCACCATGTCCTTCTTTATCCTTCGTCGGTAGCCGCTTAATATTTGTATTCCATTAGATTGCTGGCTTTGACGTGGATGGCTTGTTTAGCAACATTGAATTGGTCCGTCAAGTATCAGCCAAACTGCTGTCATTGCTGGAAGAAGCCACGACAGATGTGGAACCACCCATGCAAATAATCGGTATGTTTACTGTCCTCTTGAGTTCTACAAAGCTACGTGAAAGAATAAACAACACTCTCCTGTCCTCTACCCTCATCACGTTAACTAGTACCGCTCCCAGGGCTAACGTGCTGCAAGCTGGCCACAGCGACACAGGAAAGATGGCACGTGAGGCCTGTCCTGTTGCTCTGCTCTGCTCATATGATCATGATGCTCTGTTTCCATCCACCCGGGTGTTGAGGGGAAGGAAGGAAGGAATGAGTTTAGCATGAGTAAAACCGGCAGCGCTGAGTTATGCCACACACTGATAATACCCTGCTCATCTAGTGTGATATTCCTACCTAACTCTCCTCACGCTTACAGCTGCTCTCACACTGCACATGCACAATCGTGCCATTCAAGACAAGCATTAAAAACGATTGGAACGTTAACCACATCACAGCCCTTCCCTGAACACTGTAAATGTGTATTTACTTGTGATACAACCCGTGTGGGAGGTGGTTAAGGCTTAACAGGGAGACGGTCAGTGAAGGCAAGAAAGCTGTAATCGGTATTTTATGCCTGTAGGGACTGTGGGTTTTTTCAGCAACGGAATTGCCCCCGCGTATGTCACAAGTCACACATTCTGCAGGTCAGGACATAACAGCTAAGACTGTCATCTATTCACCTGCAGAGCTGGAGAGATTTAAGAAGCTCATCACCTCCCCATAACTGCTTCTCCAGTGTACAGGTGATCCACCTGAAGGGAACAGGTGAGAATTCTTAATCTGCTGCAGTGCAAAGTCACCCAGTTTGTTTAGCAAACTTCCACCCATGATTCAGAGGTCAGAGAGGTTCTTTATTCCCTAAACTGACCACTCCCGTGGGTATCGTGTTATAGAAAGGACCCCTCTTCTCACAAATAATGGTGTAAAACATTACTGGTTGCCGTTCGACTAAGAAACACGACATGAAAGCGCAAGAGGCTTAGCAAAGGTACTAATCCTAGTACGTCTCGGTCTGGTTTGCCAAGGCAACAGCTTAATGTAGTTTGATGCGACGGTGTTGTTTGGCAGTATTTCAATAAAAGTGCATCCTGATGACTCATACCGTTAATAGGCAATGTTCTATTCTAGCAGGAAATGCCTTTCTCACAGCCAGGAGAATCATCCTTTCAGTTCCCTGCCACATCCATAAGGAAAGACAAACAATTTCATCCATCTATTAGGGTGGATTTCTCCAGAATCAAAGAACCAGGAAAATGTATGGGGTTGGGGATCACAATGTTGACTAAATCATGGCAGGGAAAAAGATGGCAGGTAAGGTGTGAGATGTTCTTCTACAGGCTGAGACAAAAGCAGGGGGAATAACTGCCTCACTGTGAGCAGTAAGTTAGCAGGTTTGCCATCCTCCACAAGTACAGCAAGGTGATAATTTTGTCTTCAGGATCTTCATAATCAGCGTAAACATTGTTAAAGCCAGTCTGTAGAAGAGGCAGGCTGAGAATCTGTTTAGCACGCCAGTCGTGTTGTGTCACGTTTATGGGATTTCAGCATCTTGCAGTGAAATCTTACTGTGAAGGTAACCCGGTCATGGTGCAGCTGGGGAGAACTGCTAACTCACTGGCTTGGTTGCTTGTATTCGCGTCCTGTTTCAGCCTGTGTTCTCCACACCTTGGGCTATGTCCCACCGCTGAGTGGTGCCCAGTAGGAGCAGACCTCTGGAGTGAAACAGTCGGTGCTAAGGGCCTGGTACCCCGACAACACACGTCAAGAGGCCTTACTCCGGGTTGGCTGTAGCCCGTCTCCGTAGGTTGAGAGTTGCCCTTGGTGGTATGTGACGTGCCCTCAGGGTGCTTCTTCTGGCAGTCCCATCCTCCAGCTGTGTGTCTGACCGCTCCACCGCGCAGCCTGGGCACGGGAGATGAGCACTACCCAGAGACTGGCCCCGCAAGCCCTCTCCTAACCTGAGCTAAACTGTTCTTGTACACAGATCTTTCGTGGTGCTTGGTCTTCCGGCGCTGAACACTGCTGAGGTTAAACACCCTTCCTAGTTCTCTCCTGTACTTCTTCTGCTCTCTGTTCTGGATACTGTATACGGGGGAATATATACTGTATACAGACTGTGTAACCCTACCTTGGCTTTAGCAATTAGACCCCTTCCGCCTCCCTCTCCCCCGGCTGTCCACACAGGACACCAAGCTTCCTCCTAGGATGTTCTCTTTCAGACTGCTGAGTAGCACACTTAAGAAAAGGCATCAGGCAGATTTGGATCTGTCGGAGTGTGCAGAAGACTGTATTTTTAAACCCGTGCCCCAGTACAATGTGGTTTTGGCCCATAAAGCAAGCTCCCGCGGTGATACGCCCAGAGCTCATCTGATTTGGTCCATGTGGCTCAGAACCAGGAAGGGCTTTACGCTGAGGAAATCTGTCTGCTTTTAAAAGGCCCTATCCATGACATCGGCACATGATTTTTCTCATCACTGAGCATCAGTGAAAGTAGCTGTCCTTGTGGCACAACACATCAGTGAACAGCTCTTGCTCATCTCTCATTCTGGAGAAGAGGAGGATAATTTCCAGCCTCTGGTATAAGCTGAAATGAGCTGTAAGCCCATAGCTGGCATTTTCGCCTCAGAAAACAACCACTTGAGCGCTTTGCATAGTATGGGCCACGGAGCACTTGGAGCTCCGCTTCAAGCTGGTGCAGACTGAGAGCTCAGCACCTCTGTGGGTCAGGTGCCAAGGGAGCAGGATGGAGAGGAAGCTTGTTAAGGTTTCCTTACGCCGCTGGCTAACGAAGGCCTGGGTAGAGAGCTGATGGGAAAGTCGGGGTGCGAGGGGCGTTGGTAGCCGTCAGCACTCGTGTTGAGCACAGGCAGAGCAGCCAGCCAGCTGCAGAGCATTCACCTACGGACACTGCTGCTTTTCTGGCTGGCCTTCCCGTGACTCAGACGAATTTGTGTGGTCTCAGCTCTGTCACTGTCGTTCCCTTACTCGCACCTTGAAACCAACAGGCACCAGACAGCCCAGTTAACCTTCGCTGCCAGGGGAAAAAATCCCGAGCTGTGTTACTGTGGTAACTGAATCATTTTTCACTTCAAGACGGAGCAGTTCAACGCGATGCATTATGAATCAGCCCACTCCGCTCAGGATGAGGCACGCAGGATGCCTGACAGCCTGGCGCTCGCTCTGAATGAACAGAGAGCTCCCAATTAACGTGCTGTTCCGCTTCTAACTTTAATAATCATTCCTATAACTCCACAGAAATGTTTATAAAACATCGGGCTGGCTGCCACGCGGATGCAACTCTCGGCAACTGCCCGAGACAGGAGTTTTCACCACTGCTTTTGTTCATTGTATGCATCTCCAAGGATGCTGATCAGGATGCTGATCAGGTTCTTACACCAGGGTGTGAGAACCGCAGGAATGTCTCAGCAGAAGAGACGAAGCATGCCCTCTCCGCTCACGTATTTCTTACATACACAGAAACTGGGCCAGCAGCTTTGGGCTGAGAGAATTAGGCACCAGAATTAAATGGGAAATGGGCACAGGGCTGCTTTACTGCCTCTGAAATTCTGTTCTTTGGGGGAAAATGGTGGCGTAGAGGACTGGAAATGGCAATGTCTTCCCCCTTCAGTTGTAGCTAAACCTAAACACTATATAAAAATGGCTGGAATCCATGGTGGTTTTATCTAATCAGGGGAGGGGTGGAGGTTGCTCCTCTGTCATGTGAAGAAAAATCTCTATTCCAGGCCATAACAATTGCCATTTCAGGATTGTGCAAAACAGATAAAAGTGAAACGGCTAATGGGAGATGGAGTCATTATTCCTGTTATAACCTATTTAAGTTCATATTCGGTTGAAAAAAGCATCAAAAGGAGAAGGGACAGGCTTGCTGCCAGCCCCCAACTCCAGAACAGTCTCCCCTTAAGAGTTAAGCTCTCCTGTGAGGCTTCCACCAGCGGGGCACTAAGCTGGGGCAGCGAATTAGGGGGTTGGGTACGAAGGGGTGCGGGGTGTAGAGACTTCAGGCCTTTCCTGGGGGGAATTCTTGTGCATTAACACTGATGCAGTGGTGCCTGGCTATGACAAAGACGAGCAGCTGAGAAATACCTGTAATAAATAATGCACATAAACACACAAGATCGTTTCTAAGGGAAGTAAAGTGGAAGCCAGCCTTTTTAGCTCACGGCTAATGCGGTGGAATAATAAAACTCCTTCTGAGATGCTGTTGTCTGCCTTGACACGCTTTGTTTTTCTCCTTAACAGGGGAAGTGTTCTTGCAGATTAAAGGCCCACTAGAAGACACATATAAAATCTACTGCTGTCACCACGAGGATGCACACGCCATGCTGGAATCCTGTGAAAAGGATGAAGAACTGAAGCAGCATTTAAGACAGTGTGTACAGTCCTTAAAGTAAGATCTTTTCAAATGATGATTTCCGTCCATAGTCAGCTGCCTGGCAGGGAACATTTTAAATGGATGTAGATGAAAGGTCCCCTGTAAATCCAGAGTTTTATGAGGCTTGCTGGGAGCTCTGGCTTATGGTGCTTTCATGAAAAGATGACAAGCCAGGGGCCATGATTAGATTTCTTTCTAAGACGGCCAAAAATAGCGCAAGAAAGGTTGCTCTTCCCTTAGCTCCAGTGCCCCATACTGGCAAGAAAAATGCTGCATCATATCATGGGCTGGTGGGAACACCTTGCCCACCTCCCAGGAAACATGCTGCCCTTCAGCAATTCCATTGTGGGAACTAAACCCGCCTGGAACGGCGCCGTTCACACGCGCTGGTGTACGCAGCCCCCAGTGCAAGGCCCCAGGGATCCGGAGCAGCCCTGTGGTGCTGCACCCCCTGTGATGGGGGTATTTGGGAGCAGTCAAAGCTGAAGGTGCTTTGTGCCACCACCTCCAGCACCAGCCCCTCAGGGAAATGTGTCGAGAACCGGGGATGCCCAGAATAACGGATCTATCTTTCCTCCAGCACGGCTTCCTCCTGCAGCCAGTTGCAGGAACCAGTGTACCCACTCCATGGAGAGGGCTTCTCTTCCCACTCACCAATCCCCTTGCCCCCTCTCTGTCCCAGAAGCATCGCACAGAGCTGTCAGGAAGGAACGCAGCACAGTCTTTCAGAGCAGAGGTCTAGACCCAGCTCCCGGAAAGGGCCGTGCTCGAGGAGAGGTGTAAAGTGGCACAAGTAACAGAGGGCTCACCCACAGCAGCAGGCATTTCAGTCACACCCCAGCCAGTGATCAGCCTGCAGAGATGTGCTAAGGCTTAGGAAGTGGGAAGTATGTCCAGGTGAAATCTGGACAGAGTGGTGGAGGAAAATACCAGCAAGATTAAAAGAGAAAAGGTCACTTTGAGGACAGGCTATGTGGAAAATAAGGCTTTTGCGCAACATGTCCGGTTATTAAACACGTAACAAAGGATGTGTGCGGGTCCCAGCAGGGCGAACTGCGGCTTTAGCTACCCTGCGAGTTGAAAGAAGGAGATTTTTGTATAAACTCAGGCTTTCAGGCTAAACGACAGCCAGGCGGGGTTTTGGTGGCTGATGCCTACAGTATTCTTTTCCGGCTAATCAAGAGAAGCCGATGCTGTCGTTCACTCAGCCCTGCTGCTGCAGCAAGGGGACACGGAAGGGAATGAAGATAAAAGGCAAAAAAAATTATGCAGCATTTTTACCAAGTTACAGGCTGTTTTCCATTGAAAGACATAATAAATGCAGGGGACGGTTGTTTCTTGAAAAATGTTTACTTCTTAAAGAATGATTTTTTTTCCTTGGAAAGAATATTGGTCCATTTTTAAAAACTGAAACAGGATAAGGTTTCTAGGGGCTTCTGTTCCTCAGCTGAGCAATATCTGCCACACGAAAACCGAGGTCTGTGTCAGGAGCAGTTGGAGAGTGGCACTCTGCACATCTGCACAGACAAGCCAGATTCAATTAGCCATGCTG